TTGTCTATACAAGGACTTGAGAAAAACGAAGTGTCAGACAAGGAAGTTCTTTATCGTATGACTTCTTCAATCTGCTACTAATTCGAGCTCATTCAGAATCAAGAAGGTAGTTTGCATATATACATAGACAGCCGAATAGACGGGCATGACTTATAGAACTTTAAATATATTAGCTATTTATAAAATATTTATATATACGTACTCAAATAATATTTCCACTTTAAAATATATTTAATCTAAGGGAGTATGAAATATAAATGAGCACTCTTACGGCAAATGCTTTAAAAAAAAAACTTATAGTTATGTATGTAAATATGTATGTGCGTATTTAAGTAAATATGTGTGCATTATGAAAGCATTTTAATCGCATTTCGCTTATCAATTGCATTTGACTATGCGTTAGTGGGCAACGAGTGCTGGGGCCCCTACCCCAACCGGCAACTGCTTTCAATTTTTTTTATTTCATTTGACATTTTACAAGCCAACAACAAGCAAACAAGCAGATAACGCAAATGTGATAAGTGTCGAAAGTGGAGGAAATAAATTTAGAAAAAAATTACAAAAAACAAAAAAACGAAAAAGAAAAAAATGAAACGGCTGATAAACAAATGTGCAGCGGAGTACGCAATAATTTTTAGGGCCCTTACATAAACAAATACAGCTAATATTGCACATGTAGGTATGTGTGTATGTGCAAACAAGCACTTACATATGTAGATTAGAAATTAATTTCTTTTTTTTTCACTTTTTTACAAATGTTCATTTTTTGTTGTTGTTTTTTGTATTTGCTTTTGCAAAGCTAGCAACAGCTCAATCGAAATGATTGTAAGAGCCAAAAGCAAAGGCGAGTGGTATGTGATAAATAATCAAGTCAGCTTACCCGACACAATGTCTGCTCGGACAAAAAGCGCATAAGTTGATATGTGTAAATATTATAGGTACATATATATATATATACATACATATATTGGTTTATATGTAAATATCACTTTGGCACGCTGTTTTTGACAAAGTTTGTGCATAATTTCTCATTTTATCATTGAATCTACCCACACATAGACATAGTACATATGTATAACTCAACAGCCATGACTTTTTCATCTGTGTGAGCGAATTTTATAGCTTGTCACTAGCGTTGCTTGTGGTCAGTGTTGCATGCAAATTAATTGAAGAAAATGTACAAAAAAAAAAGCAAAATTTTTAAAATTAAATAAAGAATTATAAAAA